AAAAAAAAACACAATTCTTGGTGGGCCTATTTGGTAGCAATTCAAGTAGTAGTTTACTTCAATTCAGTATTTTGATAGAAATTGGAATTTGGTCTTCAAAATACTTTGAAATTTTTTAATCACAATCACATTTTACAGTTATTCTTGGTTAATACAAAAACTAATCAATTCAATCTCACTGCCACCTCTCTTTATAAGCAAGGTTCATACCTGTCTACAGAACGGCCTGGCCCCACTCCAAGTTCTGGACGTGCACTAGGTAAGAGGTAAGACAATCTGTCCATCACTGAGGACGCCACAGGTAAGGCAGCAACATTTTGATTTATTTTCTTGAGTTCATTTACAATGGCACTGGCAATGGACTTCAACACATGATGAGGAAGATGAAATGTAACTGTGGCCCACTGAAAGAAAATGGGAGTATAAACAAAGGAAAACATACTCCAAAGATTTAACCAAAATCATAACTTAATCATTATCAAATAAAGAACAATTTATCAGTCTCAGTCAGTTTACTCCATCAGTTTATCATGTAAAGCAGGAAGTTGCTGCCTGTGGACTCTAGGACGAGGAAAAAAATAAAATAAAGCAGGAACTTGCAGTTATATAAAAAATGAAACCTCTTATTCACAGAAGCCCAGACACGGAAACAATCTAAGTATCCATCAATGGATAAAGAAAATGTGGTATATATACACAATGGAATATTATACAGCCTTAAAAAAGGAAATTCTGTCATCTGTAAAGTCATAGATGAACCAGGAGAACATTATGCTAAGTGAAATAAGCTAAGTACAGAGAGACAAATACTGCATGATCTCACTTGTATGTGGAATCTAAAAAAGTTGAACTCAAAGAGAAGCAGAAAGTAGAATAGTAATCACCAGAGGCGGGGAGTCAAAGGGTATACATGGGAAAAAGGGAGATGTTGGTTAAAGGGTACAACGTTTCCGTTAGACAAGAGAAATAGTCTTATTTATCTATTTTAGTTTGAGTGATCTATTACACAGCACTCTGACCACAGTTAATAATAACATATTGTATATTTCAAAATTGCTACAAAAGTAGATTGTAAACATTCTCACCATGAAGAAATGACAAGGTGGGGTGACAGATATGTTAATTAGCTTGATTTGATCTTGCCACAATGTATATACAAATCCCACACCACATTATACCCCATAAATATGTAATTGTCAATTCAAATTTTTTAATTTTTTAAAATGAAACCTCAACTACACTGAAAAAGACAGTTTAGAACCAGATGGTAACACATCTTCTTACACAGCTAACCACAAATTAAGTACAACTAAAATCATGTCATTTTTCATAATCACCCAACATACACAATGTTAAGCACAAAGTAAGACTCAAATATCTCCATCCGTAAGAACATATTTGGACAATTATCATTACTGGGGTACATGATGATTTAGTTAAGCTTAGCAAATGTATATATTTTTATTGCTGTTGTCACCATAATCCAGCAATGGTAACTAAAAACACAGGCCTGCCTTGTAGTCACACAGACCTGGATTCTGACACCAGTTTGAGGATCAACAGTATCCAATAAATGTTAACCACACTTATTTAATATTACAAAAATTACTGAACAAGTTATACTGTAAAAATGCTAAGAATTATCCTCCCGCAAAAATAAGTCTATAGAGTAATTTCACCTTTATACCCTGTCTCCAGTTCACCTATGAATGGCTTCCACTCTGTCTAGAACACTCTAGGCAGCCTCGTAAGTTACTATTTATCTAAATAACTTGAAAAACTCATGGCCAAAAACTTGAATTGAATTGCTAAAAAAAAAAAGAGAGAGAGACAATGAAAACTTCTCACCTAATCTGTTCAGAGATGCAGAACCCTTTCATTGAAAGGGAGGCAGACTTCCCTTGAGAAAAGATCCACAACAATACACCGACTAGGTACAGTACATCACACTAAAAACCTTTCCCAAAGAAACCTGTGAGCATTCAGTATAGTGACTGTGCACAGAAGAAAAGATTTTTCGTACATTTCCAAAAGTGGCACTGAAATGACCTAAAATATCACCGTGGTCCACCAGTCAAAGTGGGGCATTTAGGATGGTCAAGTAATCAATGGAGTTTGGGCAAAAAAGTTGTCACAGTGAGCTCTGTGTGTCCACAAACCCAAAATGTAGTTATTTCCCTAGTTCTTAAATGCATAATTGAAAGAGATCTAGAATAGGCAACTGGAAAAATCCCCACCTTAGCTCTCTCTTCCTCTCTAAGGACCACTAAGGCAGGAAAGACCAAATAGAAGCCCTCCCCGAGAACTTTCCTTCTCTACAAAGATATTAAACCAAAGCAATACCACATTCCTGAGCAAATTTCTAAAATTAATGCCACTGTAACAAACATGAAAGAATACAGAAGTAAACAAATGGTCTCATCCCCATTTAACTGGCCTGTATCATCTACACAGAATGTAAAGGGATCTTGATTAATGACTGTGGACAGTAAACTAACAGGTAGTGACTTCAACTGCTGTTCCAGATAAGGTATGTTTACTGAAGCAAATCAACAAATCCCCTGTTATCTGGTAGACAGTTACAGTTCTCTCAAGTATTTTTCTATACTAATTCTTAAGGACCATCCAAAAAGTCCACTTTTACCTGGCAGAGAAAAACAATAAATCTTAACAATCTTACTTACCCCAGGACTGTATCTCACATTCTTTACCATAATGTAGTATGCGGAAATCCTGATCATCCTAACATCGTACATTTCACCATATTGGTCCACTACATCAATAACATCATGCTGACTGGTCCAGATGAGGAGGAAGTAGCAAAGAACTTAAATGCCTTAATAAGATGCAAGCCAGAGAAAATCAATAGTCCCCAGAAACACTCAGGATCCTACAACCTCAGTCAAGTTTCTGGAGGTCCAGTGATCTGGTCATATCAGGATATTACCTCCAAGGTGAACAACAAGTTGCTACAACTTACAACATCAAGCACTGAGAAAACAAAAAAAAAACACAATTCTTGGTGGGCCTATTTGGATTCTGGAGCCAATATTTAGCATATTTCAACATGCTACTCTGACCCAATTATCAAGAAATTCATCAGGCTGCCAATTTTAAGTAGGGTATAGAACAAGAAACTCTGCAACTGGTCCAGACTGCACTGCAAGATACTCTGCTACTTTTACCTTAAGAGCATATTCAACGACACTGACACTGGAAGTATCCATGGCAAATAATAACGCTGTAAGAGCCTGTAGCAACCTGAATCGGGACAATCACATAGCAGAATGCTAGGGTCCTGGAGCAAATGCAAGCCCTTTCATGCAAATAACTGTTCTTTTGAAAAACAGCTCCTGGCTTCCTACTGGTCCCAGATAAGAGATTAATACCTATCCGTGAGACTAATGTCCATGTAATCAAAGCTGTCTGTCACAAAGTAAGTGTTATGTGACAAACGAAACCATAATATTATGCAAAAGCAACAAGTATCCTTCATCAAGTGTTTTATAGGGATCAGTCTTGAGAAAGTCCAAAAGGCATAAGCTGAATTCAAGTGGCTCAGACCTATACAACACCCACTTTCATTATAATATCTCCTCCTCATTCCGTATCAATAGCTTCATGGGGAATTCTTTATAATGAGATAATATGAGGGGAAAATATTCTTGGCCCTGATTTACAGATGGTTCTGCATGATATGCTGGTACCACTTCAAAGTGGATGGCTGTAGAATTACAGGCCCAATGAGAAGTACAGTGGTGAAGGAAAATCTTCTCAGTGGGCAGAACTTCAATCACTGTATTTGACTATTCTCTTTGGATTGAGAGTTAGCCAGAAATAAAGGTCCTCACTGATAAATGCACAGTTCTAATTTGTTTGCTGGATGGTCAGGCATTTGGAAAATCAGGATTGAAAGGCTGTTAACAACGTCAAGGGTAAAGGTCTATGGACAGATCTCTCAAAATAAACAGTGTATGAAAATATTTGTGAAATACACGAACTGTCACCAAAAGGCCTCCATTCCAGAGGAAATGGACAAATTATACACACTGTATACATGTCAGTCAGCCTCTCGCCATAGCCACTCCGGTGCCTGCTCAATGAATCTGTATGCAAATGCCATGGCAAAAGAGAGAGGCTATGCACAGGTCCAACCACACTAACTTCCCCTCACCCAGACTAACCAAGCTACACTTGTTGCTGATTGCGTAATAGGCCAATAGCAGTTACCAAAGGTGGGCCACCAATATGACACCATTTCCCAGGAAAATAAGCCAGCTATCTAATGGCAGGTTGATCGTATCAATTCCTTCAGTCCTGGACTGGGCAGCAATTTGTCTTTACTATAACAGATATACATCTGGGTATGCATTTATCGGTTCTGCCCACAAGGCTTCTGCCATAATATATCACTGCTCGTGGACTAACAAAATGTCTTATGCACCATCATGGTATTCCAGACAACTCTGCTTCTGAGCAGAGAGCAAGGAAAGAATTTCAAAGCAAAACAGATGTGGCAATGAGCTCTTGCCCATGAAATTCACTGGTCTTACTGTGTATCATCTAGAGGGAGCTGGCCTGACAAGAGTTCAGTGGCTTACTAAAGACTCATTTTCAACACTAATTGGGAGAGACACCCTGAAAGGTTAGAATTCTACCTTACAGAATAAAGTATATGCTTTGGATCAACAAAAAATGCATATTAGAGTTTCTCCCAGCACAGTCACCATTATACTTTAAAAATCCATTCATGGATTTTTTTTTTAAGCTTTAAATTCTACAGGTCTTACTTCCCAAGGGAAGAATGTTCCAGCATAAGTACAAAAATGCTTCCATTGAACTGGGTGTTGAGACTGCTACCTAGCAATTCTGGGCTCCTCTTACCCCTGAATAAAAGGCAAAAAGCAGGTTATTCTACCGCTTGGTCTGATTAAAACTGACAAACTGGATTGATGCTGAATAATAGGGGCAAGGAGAGCTTTTGTAAAGCCCAGGAGATTTCTATAGGGTGCCTCTTATTAATTCCATATCCAATAGTAAAAGTGAATGGACAATTATTAATACAACAACTTGAAAAACACAGTACCACTGAGGATTCAGATACTTCAAGAATGAAGTCTTGGGTCACTCCACCAAGTAAAGAATCCTGACCAGGATGAGGACAAAAGGAATATGCAATAGGTAGTATAAAAAAGACATTATAAATATCAAATATATCCTCTAGACCATATAGAATTGAGGACTGCAGCAGCTATACATATTTTCTTCACTTACTGCATAAACGATAGGTAGACAGATGGATAGATGTAGATTTAGATGGACATAGACATACAGATAGATAGACATACAGACATTATTTTATGTTAAGAATTTCTGATTGTTGTTAACTTAGTCTTTAAGTAGCACAGTTCTATTACCTAAACAGTGGGACTATGATTAAATTTTAGGAGTATCCATCTAGGGATAGATTTAAAAAAATCTGTTTAAACTTTGTGTCTCCCTTTTCTGAGGAAGAGGAAAGAAAAATCTTCATTTGTAAAAAAGGAGCAATGCACCTTATTAAGTATAATGTTTCTGTTGCATGCAAGTTCAAATACATTTATGCAGGAAGTGTGTATGAAGATGTTGACTAGCCAAAGAGGTAGACTGTGCCAGTTATTAAACTATTGTCTCTCAGCTCCAAACCTATCCTTTAATTCTCTGCTGTGCCACGTTGGGGTTGGGACTTGCAAACTCTATTTCCTCTTTGTCAACCAGTTTCCTGGTTGTTAGATTCTGCCAGTAGGAGCACAGGAGGGAAAACGGCAAGCCTGCTAAGGGAAGAAAGACTTGCTCCTTCCTATTACTCCACTGCTGTCAACATTGTTTCAGCAAAGAACCTAGTGGCGGCAATTGATACTTCCAGTATTCAGCATTCCGTTTTGGTTTTTTTTTTAGCCTTCCCAGGTCCAGTTTTATGGCACTCCCTCAAAGTTAAGAGCAGCCAAGTAGCACCTCTCTTCAGAGATCTTAGTCCCAGTTCCACAAGACCCTTCTCCAAGCTCCTCAAGTACCAGCAGGGAAGCAGTTCCTCCTCAAAAGTCTGAGTCCCAGATCCACAGGGTCTATTCTCTAAGCATCTAGGTTCCAATAACCCTAACCTCTTCTCTTTGTTCCTCTAGACTTAGGTGAGAGCTGCTTCCTGTAGTCACCATTCTGTATTACCTCAGCGTTTCCTTTTCACTTGTTGAATTCTCAAACTCCTGGTTAAATTAACTTCTTAAAATAAATTCTTCCTGTTGAAATTCATAATATGGTTTCTGTTTTCCTAAATAAAATGTCCCATCAATAGAGTAAGGACTAATAAAATCGTGGTAAATCTACAAAATAAAATTCAGTGTAAATAAAAAGAAGAATGCAAATGATCTTAGGATTGGTATGAACAGATAACCTAGATAAATTCTTAAGTGAAAAAATGCAAGGTATATCACAATATTTTAGTATAATTACAACTGCACTTAAGAAAAAAGATCTGCATGAATTTACAAATTACTTTTAGGACAATGGCTTTTACCTTTTACTGTATATCCTTCAGTATGGAAGTTTTATATGTATTACATGTATTACTTATAAAAGGTCTTAAAAGAAAAATACAGAAGAAATTAATGAAATACATGGAAAGTTTTCATTCAAAGCACCCTCTCCCACAGACATCCCAGTCATGCCAAAAAAGTAATTTCAAAGAAAGGACAAAATGGTCCCATTTCCAAAGACATATTCTATTCTCATCCAAGCTCATAACCTAACAAGGAAGCTTCTTTCATCAGCCTCAAGACCAATACAGGGCCATCGGACACTAAGGAAGATTCACGGAGAAGCCTTAGAAACACAACAAGCAAAATAGTTCCCACAAACTGAATTTAAACTTCAAAAAAAGTTTCAACTTTGAAATGACTTATAAGCACATTTTGTTTTTCAGAAGAGAGAAAAATCTATAATTAGAACACTTCTAAAGGGAAAGAGAAAGAAAAGCAAAAGGACAAAAGTGTTCATTCTGTTATAGCCCCAAACAAGGTAATCTTTAACTTCTTACCTTAGCAACTTTGTGGTTTGCGGCAGTCTCATGAGATGTATTTTTTAAACCATCTTTGAGCTGTGTGATGAACAAATCATAACCCTCCATACTAGAAATATCTACCTTTTCTAAACATGCTGATAAGAGTTGCTGTGCCTGAATAAAAAAAAAATGATCACAGAGAATTAAACATACACACACCAAAAAATTGAGATCCTCAGATATTTTATATGCAATGATTATGACAGGTACTATACAAACTTACCTACTTTTACTTTTTTTTAACAAACCTAATTAATCAAATAATGATTTAAATGGCTATTATAATATTAAATGAACAAAACAATGTATTCAGGGTAGTGCTACATAGTAAAGTTTCAAGACACAGTAGTTATTATAAACCAAATCAAGATAGAAAATGGGGGCCAGGCACAGTGGCTCACGCCTGTAATCCTAGCACTGGGAGGCCCAGGCAGGAGGATCACTTGGGCTCAAGAGTTCAAGACCAGCCTGCGCAAGAGCCAGACCCAGTCTCTACTAAAAATAGAAAAATTAGCTGGGCATGGTGGCGTGTGCCTGTAGTCCCAGCTACTCAGCAGGCTGAGGCAGGAAGATCACTTAAGCCCAGGAGTTCAAAGTTACATTGAGTTATGATTGAGCCACTACACTCCAACCTGGGTGACAGAGCAAGATTCCGTCTTTAAAAAAAATCGACCAAATGCAAAACAATAATCAACAACTTAGTATGAAGACAAAAATAATATCTCACTTTATTAGGGAAAACAGCATTATAATTGTTTATAATCTATTTAAAATGATTCAAAATCCAACAACTTTAAAATATACTTTAACATTACATGATATGACTATTAACCCACATAAAAAATATTTTAAGTTGGGCTAGACTTAAAAATTAAGTAATGAAAATTTAACACTACAGAAAAATACATATGGCTAAAATTTAAAGCTGGGATTATTGAGAGACATGATACACAGCAAAAATTACTGGTTGTTTACTAATACGAATTTCTCCCTTGTTTTTTAACACTAAAAAAAAAGACACCTCTTTCCTAGTCTCCCTCTCAGTTTGGTGTGGCCATGTGACTATAAATTCAGTCCAATGGGGTGAATACGAAAGGGTATATGGGAGAGTGTGTGAAAGACAGGAAAAGAACAAGAACAAATGAGAGGGAGAAAGTAAAAGAGAGACGGGAAGGAAAGGGAAGAAGAGAGATGGCAGCGTGCTCCCCTGGCCTTTTGCCCTCCCTTTCCCTGCAAATGAGAAATAATGAGACCTGAAGCACCTGTATTAAGCTCACAAGCTAATCTAAGTGTTGAGGTTAGCAATGCTGGTCCTATACTTAGCCCTGGACTGTTACTGGAAAGAATCTATCTTGTTTAAGCCACTGTATTTCAGGGTCTATGTTACAGCTGTTCAATCTGTGCTGATGTACAATTCACGCCTAAAATACCACTTCAACAAGAACCCATCTATTATGCAGAGGAAAGACATTTAAACAAAGTTGTGATCGATAAGTCAATTCTTTTTTTACAGGGGTACGTGCATAATATTCTTACAGGACAGCTTAATTTCATGTAAATGTCTGAGATTACATTAAGTAGAAGACCACATTGATACTTATTTCAACTTACCTCTGTAACAGGTAATTCAAGCTGAACCACATCATCCTGCTTTGAAACTGGAGTTTGCAGAGCAGTGTCTAACAACAAGATTCCATTAAGGTCCTTCCTACATCCTACTGCATAATCATCCACAAATATAACTTTATCCACAGCAGAAATATACTGACATTTCACCTGTCCACCTGGTTTAGCTGTTAAAAGAACAAAAATTCAACACGTAAGATTTTAAGACCAATAGTCCATTAAAACTAAATGTTTACATGGCAACTCAACACAATATATAATCCTGGACTGGAAAAAATTGTTCTAAAGAACATGATTGGGACAACTGATTAAAATGGAATATGTACTACAGATTAAAGTATCAATGCAAAATTATCAAAATTTGACAAATGAATTGCTGTTATAAAAGAGAGTATCTGGCCAGGTGCGGTGGCTCATGCCTATAATCCCAGAGCTTTGGAAGGCCAAGGCAGGAGGCTGGCCAGAGGCCAGGAGTTCAAGATCTGCCTAGGCAACATAGTAAGGCCCCCAAAAATAAAAAATAAATTAGTCAGGCATGGTGGCACACATGTGTAGTCTTCACTAACTCAGGAGGCTGAGGCAAGATGATTGCTTGAGTCCAGGAGTTTGGGGTTACAGTGGGCTATGATCGTATCAGTGCACTTCAGCCTGGGTGGCAGAGTGAGACCCTATCTCTTAAAGAAAAAAAAATGGTGGAACAAAACTTTTAAAAATGAAATTGAAATATGTCATTTTTTTGCAAAATTCAATAAGCATAAAGTCAGGAAGGATAGTTACTAGAACAGTAGTTTCCCCCTTATCTGCAGTTTCACTTTCAGCAGTTTCAGTTACCCACAGTTAATCGAGGTCCAAAAATAGGTTAAGTACAATACAATATTTTCAATCAAGGTCCAAAAATAGGTAAGTATGATAAGATATTTTGAGAAAGACCGCGTTCACACAACTTTTATTATAATAGTCATATTGTTCTATTTTATTATTAGGTATCGTTGATAATCTCTTATTATGTCTAATTTATAAATTCATGGGTATGTATGTATAGGAAAAAATACACAGTTGACTCTTGAACAACACAGGTTTGAACTGCATGGGTCCACTCATACATGAACTTTTTTGCAATAAATATATTGGAAAAATTTTTGGAGATTTTATACAATTTGAAAAAACCTGCAGACAAGACACATGGCCCAGAAATATCAAAAATATTAAGAAAAAGGTATGTCATGAATACATACGTAGATAACAGTCTGTTTCATCATTTTCTACCATGAAACATAAACAAATCTATTGTGACAAGATAAAATTTATCAAAACTTATACAACACACACTTATAAACCATACATGGCACCATTCAGTCAAGAGAAATGTAAACAGACGTACAGATGCAGTTTTAAACTATAACTGCACAAATTTACAACTCACTATACTACTGTAATTTCATTGGTACTGCAGTGAGCTCAAGTGTTCCAAGTATCTGCTTAAAATACCATGTGACGCTAATCATATCCACCTGAGCAGTTCATCTCTTCAGTAAACTGAAAATTGCAGTATAAAGTGAGCTCTCATGGTTCTCGCGTATTTAGTGTGTTTAGTGCAGTATCATAAACCTTGAATAACACTATGGGACCCATACAGAATGCCACTAATGATACTGAAAGTGCTCCCAAGAAGCAAAGTCATGACATAAGAGAAAGCTGAATTGCTTGATATGTACCATAGACTGAGGTCCCCAGGTGCAATTGTCTGCCATTTCAGACAGATAATTCATCTTGTAAACAATGTAAACTTACGGTATTTATATAGTACAGCACTACAAAAATTGTTAAGATAGTTTTAAAATTTCAACTATAATTTATAACCACACTTTTTTTAAACTACAAATCCTGCATTCTTGTTTTAGAGATATGCAATTAAGAAACAAACTATAAAACTCACAATTTGGGTGAAACCTTCCCAGATAGGTGTAAAGGTAAGAATGGGTTTCCACACAACACTAGGATTCCATATGATGTCACTAGAGATTCCTCAAGAGAACAGGACCAAAAAAAGTCAACAATTTTCTTTGTAATTTCTTGCACTATGCAATATTAGCACTCAAAATAATGGACACTGACCAAATAGTCTTGGTGGGAATTTCTTTAGAACTCTTTCAGGTCTACATGGCAGCGTGCAGCAGGACTACGTTCATTCAGCCGAGTCCATTCTCAGTTTCTCGCCTGAATTAGGGAAGACCATTCTTAAACAGAGAGTGCTATACTGCTCCAGGCAGGGAAGCAACAGTAGGCTGATGTCAGCCATGCTCCTTCAAAGGCTCTTATGCCCTCAACTTAACTAATTATTAGGTTATTATGTATGAAATGTCCAATTTCTTTAAGTACTAAGTTTGACAGTTGATATCTCTGACATTTCACTTTGACACTTCTTGTGTTATTTTTCTTGTGAAGGCAAATCCTCAGTCTTTCAAATGCACAGTTTGGCTGGTGATTATGTTTGTGATTATCTTTCAAATTTTTTTTAAAAGCAATCTCTATGAAACCATGGATAAGTCAAAAATTCATGTTATTTTTAGCTCTCTGGGAGGCCGAGGCAGGC